AACAATAGTGGTGCCCAAATCGAATAGAGCCCTAATTTTAATCATTAAAACAGAGGTGACACATTGCTTTTTCTTAGCCGGTGGTGATGGTTGATCTTCCTATCAGGAGGCGACAATGGTTTATGCTCCCCGCTGTAGCACTAGTATCTTCTCAAGCGGCGGCAACAATGAGTTTCTTCTCATGCTAGGCTGCAATTTCTTCTCTGGATGAGTAACAGTGGTGCCCAGATCAAATACAACCTTAATTTTAAGGTTATTTTTGTCTTTTTAAATTTTATGTTTTAAACAATTTAAAAAAGTATGGGCATTTCGGTAACTTTACCCTAATTTGTAACGTGAGTTAACGGTTCTAAAAGTTCGGGGTACCTAAGTGTTGCATTCGAAAGTAGAGGGTACTTATTATAATTTACCCTTTAAGTATACAATGGTTTTTCTATATTTCTATATCTTCCTAGTTAAACCATTAAGAGGGTGTGCATCTATGTATGATTTTGTTTTTCAACACAAAAACTACTGTTTGTAAAAACAAAATCTTACTTATCAACCAATAAAGGCAGTTCCGGTATCAGGCAAAGACATATTTAATTGTAGGTTTCAATGTCATTGTTCAAACAACTAAATTTGAACAATTCAGAATTAGTCCCCTTATTCGTAAAAAAAAAAAAAAAGAATTAGTCCCCCTAAACCATTTCTTTTTCCATTTATACTGCTCATGATCTCTTCTTGCAAGGTTTGTTTAAGATTCGTCATTGCCATGTTTCTTAAAATGACCTTGTTAAATTGGCTAGAATGCAATTAGGATTCTTTTTTCTTTGTTCGATGAAATGTTTTTCTCTGTTCCATGAAATGTAAGTTTTTGATTTTCAACTTCATGTATCAACCATTTGTTTCCCACTTCGAACATGGATCATGTATCAACTAGCAGTTTCTTTTAAACATGGATCATATAATTTCGAATAATCTCTTACTCATGTACTTTGTTTTTAAACAAATGTTATTTTCTGGTATTTAAATGAGGGATCTACCTATTTTATTTTGCTCATGATTGCTCTAAAAGAGAGATATGTTAGACAGTGTATGCCCATAACTCCAATCATATTGATGTATATAAATATTTATTGTAAATGAATAAAAGTACATAATTGATTCATGTTATATATGGTGTGTTTCTGTATAATTACCCTTAAACAAAACACTTGTCAGACTTGCGTTATTTTAGAATGTTCTCAACCGTTGGATAGACTTGGGGAAGTTTATCTTGGCAAAGCTGTCACTAATGTGCTGCTAAGTCGGTTAGGGTAACTTGTCTCAGCTGCTAGGGTTAGACCCGAAGCACATGTAGTGTGTGTTTGTTTAAAACATTGAACCCGGGCCAATTTCTAGTTATACCCTGGACCTTGGAGACTAGTGGGAAAAACTGGAAAGTTACACCTAACCCATAGACTCGATTATGGTACTACACTAGGTGTCGGATTATGTTGTCTTTGATGTGCCAATCAGTGATATCCTTCGGGGGTCAAAACCTGGGTATGTTGGGGCAGTCTGAGAATTCACTCGATTGGGTGATCATAATGACAGGATCAGCCCTTTGTCGGACAAAGTGAATCGGGCTGGCACTCTCTTTGATGGAAACCAAAACTATCGGTAGTTGATTACAAACTTGTTTGAGATTTGTTTTGCAAAATATATTTAAATGAAAGTATATATTATGTTTTAAGAAAAAGGTTTGTAGAAGGTTTTAATTCCCGAGATCCATCCGAGCAGAGAGTGCAACATTATGCCTTGCAGCCAAGGGAGAGGTCATCTCTTGTCGGGCAGTATTTGATCATTAAAGGCTGAGAGGTTAAGTGTAAGACCATTTAGGTCTTTTATACCTAATGGACTATATCTCACTTAAGTCAATTGTCCTTACGCCTTCATAGGATGGCTAGACCCAATGACCATTTAGTGAAAATGTTGGGCCCATTTAGAGCACATAGTGTTGGACTCAGGGGTTTACTATGTCAATAGTGAATTCGGCCAAGCTTTGTTACAGAAGCTAGGTTGAACCCATATGGACTTTTGTGTGGTCATTGTTAGGGTCCCACGCCATACAAAGAGAGCCAAGTTAGCCAACAATTAATAAGAGACGTGAGCCACCTCCTTAATGGGCGTAAAGCCCAAAGATTAATTGGATTAATCAGGGTGTCACATGACAGGTTAAGCAGTCATGTGACATGGGCGAATTTGGGTATGGATATGGGTTTCGATCAGCAGATAAGATAAGAGGATAAGTCTTATCCACTTAAAGAGTCCAGATCCAAATAAAGATTTGGATTAGGAAACTTCTAATTGGATTAGGAGAGCTATTCTTTAAGGTCTACAAAAGGAGAGGGTGAACTGCTCCAGTTTACATAGATCACTACTCTCCATTCTCCCTCTCTCCTTCTACTCTTGCCACCATACATACCCAATTCGTTCTCCACCTTTTGGATGGATAGAGATCAGTTTCTACCTCTGATTTTGCAAGAAAATTATATCAGATTTCATACTCATACTCCCTTGCTCGATCCAAGCTGTTGGATTGCAATTCTTACTAAAGGACTACATTGCTGAACCTACTTCATCCTAAGCTATGCCATCTTTAGTGGAACCGAGTTTTGGTACCCTCTTTGGGCGAAAACACCTACTTTGGGAACTACACATGTTGATTCCGTATCAGGTATTCCTCTCCCTTTCTTTTGGTTTTAGATTTGGTCCGCTTTGGTTCAAGAACGATCCTTGAAAAATGTTATTTTCCTAAAACTAGGAATACGATTCCCAAATAGGAGAAAATAAATTTTTGAAATTTCGCCCAGCCATCTAGCATGGTTTGGCCATCCATATGATGGATTTCCCCTTCCTTCAATGGTATTAGAGCCAAAAGTTCAATCTTGAACCGAAATAAACCAGATCTGAAGCAAGACCCAAATCGGCAGAACTGTTCTACCCGATTTGCACAATTAGCAGTTTACCAAGAAATTGGTTCTCAGTTTTTGGGCGTTTTGATCTAGAACTAATTTTATTTTATTTTGTAATGATTTTAGAATTGCTCTACTATTATTTCTTGAATTTTGAGTTATTGGTGTGATGGAGATCAAATTCTTTATTGGAGCCAAGATTTGCGCACCTTGCAATTTATTTATTCGATTTTCATCTATAAATAATTCTTTTTTATTTTTAGACAAAATGTATTAGGATTTATTCTGATGTAATTAATAGAAAATTAGGTTTTTCCATTTTTCTTACATTGGAAGACTTGTTGGAGCGCGCAGAGGTGAAGAAATTTTGTAGAAAAGAAATCTGCAATCTGCGGTTAACAGTTTCTTGCAAGTTTGCAGTTCGTCCGGATCAGTTTCAGACCATCACAGTTGCAGCCCTATGTTATGTGTTTCTTGCTGTGATTGAATGTCAATTTTGGCTATTAATAATTTCATATCAAAATCTTGGAAATTGTAACATATTTTGGACACCAAACCCTAGGCCGAATTGACCTAGTTTGGTCCAAACTGGTTGGACCAAACCCATGGTTTGATGGGGTCTGATCTTAGCCCCATGGGTCACATTTTAAGTGGCTTGAATTCGGCATGGACCAAGGGCTTGATGGCCCATCACATGATACAATTTGGCCCTCCCTTGTAAAACCTTATTTCTGCTAAGTTAAAGCAACATCAGCCCAATTTTTAGCATAACTGCTATATGGGCCGAACTGCTTTTTGTTGTTTAGCCCATATACCTAGATGTTATTATTTGATAATACATGGGTTGATTGTGTGTTAACTTAAATTAATTAGGATCTTTAATTGATAGGATCAATTTGTGGATGTGAATGTTTGTGATGTACTGAATGTGATTCGCACATGGGCCATAAGTACTTGGCCCATGTTTAATCGTATGTGGCTCTCTGCGAACATCATGGCTGAATGCAAATCATTGCCTTGATGCCCACAGATCATTGGATGATCTCCCTTCTCAATGGGCCCCCTGATTAGTTTCCTCCTCAAGAGGAACCCCGCAGAACCCTAGCCCGTTTTGGGCCCATTTGAATCTGACTTTATGAAAGTTAGTGGGAGCCACTTTGGTATGACCTAAATTAGACCTAGAGACTGCTTTAATTTGTTCCCTCCAGATTAATATAAGTGCAAGTGATAGGGAATGTCATATGATGAATTCTCTAAAGGCCTTGCATCATTAGCATGAAGGTGGGCTGAATTGGTGGGTGATGAATTCCCTAAAATGGGCTATCCATTTGCTAGTCCAGTCGGTTGAATTGCTTCATGAAATGATAGGGGCATCATAGACCAATGTGGGAGAGGCCTATCCTAAAATGAAAGAATCTTTCATGGTACATTGGGGTCCATGATGTGACGGGTCCATAGTTGTCAAGGCAACTAGGCGAAGTTAGGCGACCATAGGGCGCCCAGGTGACACCTAGGTGATGGAATCTATAAATATATTAAATTATGGATTTTTATACTTCCTAAAGGACCTAAACTATTTTATAAGATATATTTACTAACTAGCTACATATTACACTATGCATAATCAATAAAATCTTTCATATAAGTATAATTTTCATGTGAAAACATAAAAATTAAACTAGTAAAGTGAGAGAAAAAGTCTACTAACATGTCAAGTTCCAAATTGGCAACACTAAAAAAGTAAACTAGTAGATAGTATCATACATTTTGAATGATTGAGTGTTGATCTTGAGTATTATTTTTTCTGCAACTTTGCCTTCAATAAGAAAACAAATTAAAATAATTAATCAATCAATAAGAAATCAACCTTATCAATCTATCATTAACAAATGGAAGAAGCACTACAAAAAAAATAAAAAAAAAATTCATAATAATTCAATACATACCTTGGTTGATGCTTGGTACTTTAAATAATAAGATTAAACTATGAAACTTGAAAGTCATGAAACCATTAAAAAATAAAAAGCATAATAGCATATAATGAATAAGTATAAAACTAAACTATAAATCATCATTCATCTCCAGTTCCCCACAAGTCCACACTACAAAATATAAATATGAAGATTGATTAAAACTTCAAATGTATCATAGACAATACAATCCATAAAGAAAATTCTCTATTCTTAATTAATTGGAGTGTCTAATAAGTAAGAACCACCAAAACCTCCATTGAATGCACCAACATCATTAGCACTATAATCAACATCTTTATCCTCATCATCGTCACCATCATCATCATCTTCTTCAACATCAGCATCTTCTTCTTCATCTTCATTATCTTCCATATCATTGTCCTATATCTGCTCTTCTTCTTCTTCTTGAACAACACTTTTGCCTTTATCTTGTATTCCAGACTCACCTCTCCCATGACCACCTCTACCTCTACCTCTGCCTCTATTTAGACTTCTACTTGCATTTTCACGCCCATGTCCACTTCTCCTTGGCCTATTTGACCCTTCAAGGATTTCAGATGCCCCTAATGCTTCATCAACTTGAGTCCATGTAAGATCACACCCTTCATGGACCAAGTCATTTGAGAGGTTTTTCCCAGTCAACCACTCACTAGTTTCATCTAAATCATCAAAGCAAATAGGGTCAAATTGCTTTGGATTTGCATGCCTTGTTGTAAATCTTTCTCGGAGGCGTTGGTAGTATTGAACAAATACAAGATCATTGAGCCTCTTTTGATCAAGCCTATTCTTCTTTTTTGTATGAATCTACATTCACAGCAAAATAAGAAAAATTATAAAAATAGGCATCTTAAGTTCTTAACTTTCATAAATAATTTTATCACAAAACCAAACTTTAGGTCCATTACTTAGAACTCACATGCTCAGAAGTGCTCCAATTGTTCTCACAAGCAGAAGAAGTGCATGTAAGACCTAATATGCGTAATGTAATACGCCTAAGGTTTGGGGTGAAATGTCTATAGCTATGCCACCAATCAGCTACAAAATAGAAAAAAAGAATTAAAATAATATAAATTTAAAATAACAAGAATAAAATATAAATATAAGTTTCAAGAAAAGAGAGCTTATATTAGTTGGTTGCTTCATTTCACGTTGCTTAATTGCCAATTCTTTAGAGAAAGCACCACGAACGTGCTTATACTCTTCCAACTGATGAGAGATCTTGTCTTGAATTTCAATATCACTGACCATTCTCTCAATGCAATCTAGAAAGCCCATTTCAAACTTTCCAAACGATGCTTCATCTTGTGCTTTAGCCTTATAATAAAGGGATGGATTAAGAAAGGAACCAGCAAGGTACAACGGATGTTGCATCATATTAGTCCAACGCCTATCAAAAATGTCTAAAATGGGCTTATACTCCATTTCTTTCCCACTAAAATTTTCGTTTATTTTTTCTCTTGCTCACTCCATTGCATAGTAAAAATAACCCATTATGGGTTTCTCATCACCATCGACCAATCATAAAACCTCCACAATCGGTTCAGTAGCCAAAAGAGCAACTCTTAATTTTTCCAAAACCCAACAAAAAGCACAGTGATTGATGCTCTTAGTCCATCTGATTTGTTAGCCTATTTACTATTATTCGACACATCACCAACAAATAAAACACGCAAGGGCTCCTTGAAAGTATACAAACTTTGTAAAGTTAGAAAAGAGGTAGCAAACCTTGTGACTGCACATCGTACAAAATCTCTTCCATTTGTTTTTTCCCTCATGTGTGCAAGAAAAAGAGGATGCCTATAAATAAAAGCAGACACTTGTCAAGCCTTGGCAATACAACTTTTTGTATACCTCAATTCTCCAATGTCTTCCAACATAAGGTCTAGACAATGAGCAGCACAAGGAGTCCAAAATCCTTGCTCTTCAATCTTAAAAGATCATCGGCTATAACATAAGTAGAGTGGTTATCAGTAACCACTTGCACCACATGCTCCTCCCCTATCTCCTCAACAACTTTATCGATCAGCTCAAACAGAAATCTTGCATTACGGACTTCATTTGATGCATCAACTGATTTTAGAAAAAAAGTTCCTTTGGGAGAATTCACCAGAAAAATAATCAAAGACCTTTGCCTTTTATCAATCCATCCATCAGACATGATGGTACAACCATAAGTCTTCCAAGAAGCCTCATACTCCTTGTACATCAGCTTGATAACCACTTTGCTGCATATTCATGTACTTTTCTTCTTTCTTCCTTCTTCAAATGACTTTCAATGCTTGTTTGAACCAATTGTCCTTTATGCCTTGCTTCAACAACTTCCTTTGGACTTGGTCTGACAAAACTATTCATAGGTCCTCTAACATTTTCCTTCCTTCTTGGTGGAAGGGGGCAATTTGAAACTGGAGTGCTCTTACCACTTGAAATGGAGACACCTTCTATGGGTTGATCACTTTGATTGTTAGAACCCCTTTCAAATACAATCTGCTCCCATGCCCCACGATTATCTTCAACTGTAAAATCATTCAATGGTTTCTTCCTCTTATTCTTCTGCATATATTCTTGCATTTCCTTGGCAATACTTGCAATGGTTTTGGGACATTTTGTCACATCCCCATAGCCCCCAATCAAATGTTGTTTTATCCTTTTTATTCTCCCTTTAAAAACTATACCACATAATGAGCATGAAATTGCAATTTCATCTTCTAAATCATGCTACAATGCATATTTCCAAGGTCCTTTGATTGAGCCTTATGCCTAACACTTCCACTTTCCTCTTCAGATGTCATCATTTATTTCTATTGAAAGAAAACCTAATCAGCAAATAAAATAAACAAAAATGTTATTATGATAAACTAGAAAATAGTTAACAATTAACAAAGAAAAACCAGAAATGAAGTTTCAGCCATAATGCCAAAACTACTAATCAGCCAAAATAAAAAAATAAATAAAAACAAAAGTTACAAACTGATAAAAAATGAGCCACATAATCAGCCAAAATAAAAATAAAATAAAATACAAAACTGATAAAAAATCAGCCATAATGCCATATACATATAATCAACCAAAATAAAAAAAAAATAAAAACAAAAGCTACAAAACTAATAAAAAATCAGCCATATAGTCAACCATATAATCAACCAAAATAAAAATAAAATAAAATAGAAAAATAATAAAAAATCAGCCATAAATAATGCCATATACATATAATCAGCCAAAATTAAAAAAAAAATGAAAACAAAAGTTACAAAATTGATAAAAAATAAGCCATATAATCAGCCAAAATAAAAAAATAAAATAAAATACAAAACTGATAAAAATCAGCCATCTTATATAATCAGTTAATCACTTAATCAGCAATTGAGCCAAAATAAAATAAAAAATAAAAAACAAAACTGATAAAAGTCACTAAATCAGCCATATAATCAACCAATCAACCATATAATCAGCCATTTAAGATTTTCAAAATAAAGAATTTCACACTCAAACATAACTCAAATAATCAGATTTTCAATTCAGCAAATTCAATCAGCATAGTAGCATACAACCAAATTCAAAATAAAACATTTCAAAAGAAAACAAAAGAATGTGTCAATGGATTCAAGAACTCAAAGGGGCGGACGACTGTTGGACTGAATCAGAATGGAAGAAGAAGAAGAAGAAGAAGAAGAAGAGTGGAGAGAGGACTGAGTGAGAGGACAGAGGAGTATAGGGGCGGTGCCCCTGTTTTTGACATTTTTTGAAAAACAAAAAGAAAATGGAGTTTGGTGGAAGAAGAAGAAGAAGAAGAAGAGTGGAGAGAGAACTGAGTGAGATGACAGAGGAGTATAGGGGCGGAGCCCCTGTTTTTGACATTTTTTGAAAAACAAAAAGAAAATGGAGTTTAGCGGAAGAAGAAGAAGAATAATAAGAGGTCGGCTCTGCGGCTGTGGAGTGTGGACTGGTTTTTTCGAAAAAAAAGGAAAAGAAGAAGAAGAAGAAGAAGAAGAAGAAGAAGACTGAAGAGTGAAGTAAGAAACTTACCTGTCGCTGCCAAAGCTGAGGTGAGGTGGGTTGGGGCTTGAGCTAGTGTTCAGTTCTCCTCCCTCTTAACTTGTCTTAATAGTTAATACTTAAGAGACAAGAGTTAAGTGATAGTGTGATACCAGATGTATTTTAAAACAATACAACCACCAATAAAATTACAAAACAATAAATTAAATTAAAAAATAATTTTATTGTAAGTAAATAGGCACCCGCCTAGGTGCCTAGGCACCTGCCTAAGTCTTTGGGCGGGCGCCTAGTATGTAAAACTTGGGGCGTCTAGGCGAGGCGACCATGAAAAAACACCTAGGTGTCGCCTAGTCGGTTTAACCTAAAATGGCAATGAAGCTTGCCTGATAGAGGCCAAAAGGAAAGTTCATTGCATGAGTGGATATGATCCTTCACAAAAAGTGGTGGGGTTTTGTAGTTGAAACATTTGGCTCCATGCACCTATGTGATTTCCCACATTTCTAGAGACATGTACCGTATCTCCATCACTAAGACAGGAAGGAAATCTCAAAGATGAAAACATGGAGATGGAACATAGATAAAAGGCCTTTCTATGTGAACATAAATAAATTTTAGGTTGTGGACAAATCAGTGTTTCCTTTTATCAGAAATGGCAAACGGACAATTCGCCAAGTTGTTGGATGACAATAAACTTAAGGGACCCAATTATGTTGACTGGTTTCGTAACCTTAATCTGGTTCTGACGTCCGATAAATTGGACAAGGTTGCCAAGAATCCTGCACCAGAACATCTGAGTGATAGGGCTTTTGAGACACGTAAGTAAGAGTATTAGGAATGGGAGAAGAAGAATTATGTTGCCCGGTGCTTCATCATAACATCTTTGGACAATCAGATCCAAAAGCATTTCGATAAGATCAAAGTGTCCACGGATATCCGGGATAGTTTAAAGACTATGTACGAAGAGCAAAATCGTTTTACCCGTCAAAAGGTCCTCAAGTTGTTGATGACCACCCAAATGACCGAGAACCAATAGGTCCATGACCACTGCGTGAAAATGATGGGGTATATTAACGAACTAGAGGCTCTTGGTTCTCAGCTATATGAAAACACTAAAACCGATGTCATCTTAAACTCTCTGCCTCCCTCCTTCAATCAGTTTGTTATGAACTACAACATGAACAAGCTAAAAGTTAGCCTTCAAGAACTCAGGAATATGTTATAGAGGACCGAAGAACTAATCAAGAAGGATAAGCCGATAGCCATACTTGTTGAAGGTGGCAAGTCAGGAAAAATAAAGAGGAAGGGCAAGAAGATACCTCAAAAGAAAGCAAGCAAGACGAAAAAGTAGAAGAAAGACAAAGCATCAGATGCATGTCGCTTCTACAAATAGACCGGACATTGGAAGAGGAACTGTCCTTAGTATCTGGAATTCAAGAATAAAGAAGGTAATTTCGAATCTTTTGTCATAGAGACCAATATGTTGGTCACTTCAGCATCCTAGTGTATTGACTTTGGGGCTTCTACTCATGCATGTAACACATTGCAGGGGTTTAGAGAAAGCAGAAGGATGAGTGATGACGAGGTGGTCCTTTATTTAGGGACTTCTGAAACAATTGCATCTACAGCCATAGGAACTGTAGATTTAACTGTCAGAGAAGGCATTTTGAGACTTAAAGATTGTCTTTATGTACCCTCACTTAGAAGAAATTTGATTTCAGTTTCAAAACTTTATAAGGATGGTTATTCTATTCTATTTAGTGATACGATTCCTATTAAATTGAATAACAAATTCCATACTTACAGAGAACTTGAAAATGATCTTTATGTCCTCCGTCCTTCTCTGGAAACAAACATAACCAAAACTACGTTGGAAATTATTCCCAAGAAACAAACATGTGATACAGTTAATCCCACGTGCCTGTGGCATTACCGACTTGGCCATATTAATATAAATTGTATCACAAGATAGGTAAAGGATGGTCCTTTTGATTTTCTAACTATAAAAGATCTTCCAACTTGTGAACCTTGCCTTTAGGGTAAGATGACAAACGATCATTTGCGAGAAGGCTTGAAAGATCTACGGGCACACTTGACCTGATAAATACTGATGTATGTAGTTCCATGAATGTTAGGACACGCAACTAGCATTATTATTTTATCACTTTCACCAATGATTACTCTCGGTATGGTTACGTGTACCTAATGAGACATAAGTCTGAATCCTTTGAAAAGTTCAAAGAGTTCAGATAAGAAGTCGAGAAACAGTTGGGGAGACACATCAAAGCCCTTCAATCAAATCGAGGAGGCGAATGTCTCTCCAACGAATTCAAGGAATTCCTAAAGGACAATGGGATTGTATCACAATTATCTCCTCCTACTGCACCACAATTAAATGATGTGTCAGAGAGGAGAAATCAAACTCTATTAGA